TCCGAAAACGATCTCTTTTCCAAGAAATCTGTTCCCAAAAATCGATCTCTTTTCTCTTCGTAACTATAACTTTGTCCTAGGTTTCAAGAGGAGATTCAGGGATTGTATTCAGTCTACTTCTTCAGCAGTGTTACTTTGGTTTAGCTAAGATATTCTCAAGATCGATTATAGTTCAATCAAAAAACTCTCATTTTCTAGCCTTTTTTTTCCTTATCTAAACCCATTAATTAACGAATTCGAATCAAATCTCAATTAATTGCCGTTAGAAAAGCTCTGAATTCCCAAAAGTTCACCTGTTGCATCTCTAATGAAAAGTCTCAAAAATCCTATTAATTTTTAATCTTTATTAACGTCATTTTCCCAAAATAATCTAATTTTATTTATTTTTTTGAAAAAACAAAAATTTATTCATTTATTTAAATTTAATCGAGTTATTAAACTTTGGAACCTTTTACGGAGCGCTTCCAGAAGCTCCTCCAGAGCTTTTAGCGCCTCCAGAAGCTCCTCCAAAGCTTTTAGCGCCTCCAGAAGCTCCTCCAAAGCTTTTAGCGCCTCCAGAAGCTCCTCCAGAGCTTTTAGCGCCTCCAGAAGCTCCTCCAAAGCTTTTAGCGCCTCCAGAAGCTCCTCCAGAAGCTCCAAAAATCCATTACAATATTTATAATTTATTTATTTAGTTATTTATTTATTAACAATTTTACATTCTTATTCCTTTTTATTTTGATTTTTCCCTTTTTATCTCTTTCGTAATAAAATTTCCATTCTTTTAATAAAATATTGCTGTCAAAAGCAGCTTGAAAATTACGTTTTAGTACTTATTTTTGAAGAAATAATCAAAGATTGAATCATTTTCCTTTTAAAATCAATGATTTCAAGAAAATTTGACTTTAAAATTCAAAAATTCTCTTTTCTCACTTTTCGTTTTACGTAGTTTTTTCGATTTCAAAACCTTTTCACTCTAGAAAAATTGGGAATTTCAATTTTTATAGAAAATTTGTTCAAAATCCTGAATTCTATATGATTTTGAAGATGTCTACAATAGAAATTTAAAGAATTTTTCAAAAATTTTCCATTTTTACTTTGTTAATCTTGATCTTTTCGATCAAATGACTCTTTCTTTTTTGCTTCTTTTCTTTTTATTAAAAAGTTCTTTAATAAAAGGAGATAATCGCATCAAATTCTACATCAATTTCATCAATCCAACGACAGCTAGAGCTGTCGAGAGCTCAAAAGTTAGCCAAAAAAGGTGAAGTGAAGTCGGAAGGGAGTCCAGAGAGTCCGATAGGTTTAAGGAAACCCTGAGGGTTCTCGGACTTGTCTAAATTGATAATCGTCCATCCTGGAGGTCACACTTGATTATTTTAACTGAATATCTTAACCTTACTGATGTATTAGTGAAGTGGTAAGGGAGTCCAGAGAGTCCGATAGGTTTAAGGAAACCCTGAGGGTTCCCGGACTTGTCTAAATCGATAATCGTCCATCCTGGAGGTCACACTTGATTATTTTAACTGAATATCTTAACCTTACTGATGTATTAGTGAAGTGGTAAGGGAGTCCAGAGAGTCCGATAGGTTTAAGGAAACCCTGAGGGTTCCCGGACTTGTCTAAATCGATAATCGCCCATCCTGGAGGTCACACTTGATTATTTTAACTGAATATCTTAACCTTACTGGACAACCAAACTTTGAGCCCATCTAGCTCGCTCACTCGAAAATTTAACTTTAAAATTTAAAAATCCTATTTCCTCACTGGAGTTTTTTCGATTTTCACAAGCTTTTCACTCTAGAAAAATTGGGAATTTCAATTTTTATGAATATCTTAGCTCTACTGGTGTATTAGTGAAGTGGGAAGGGAGTCCAGAGAGTCCGATAGGTTTAATTTGTTAAAAATCCTGAATTCTATATGATTTTGAAGATGTTTACAATAGAAATTTAAAGAATTTTTCAAAAATTTTCCATTTTTACTTTGTTAATCTGGATCTTTTCGATCAAATGACTCTTTCTTTTGATTCCGTTTCTTTTTATTAAAATGTTCTTTAATAAAAGGGGATAATCGCATCAAATTCTACATCAATTCCTTGATTTTTTTTATCTTTTTATTTCTCTATTTCTCAAAAAATTCCAAGAAAATTTGTTATTACTAAATTTTGCCAATTTTTCGACGCATTTCTTCAAAGGGCTTCTTCCAAATCTCGAAAAATACAAAATTTTGAAGAAAAGGAAACAATTTCTGCAAATAACAAGAGTTTTAATGCTTTTTGGTAATATAAGTTTAAAAGATTGGGATTTTGTCTTTTTGTTTCTGTCGTTCTTTTTACAAACGATAATTATGGCTTTAATTTTAACTGTAAACTTTAACTGTAAACTTTAAATGCAAACTTTAACTTTAAGCTTTAACTGTAAACTTTAACTGTAAACTTTAACTGTAAACTTTAACTGTAAACTTTAACTGTAAACTTTAACTGTAAACTTTAACTGTAAACTTTAACTGTAAACTTTAACTGTAAACTTTAACTGTAAACTTTAACTGTAAACTTTAACTGTAAGCTTTAACTGTAAAATTTAACTGTAAACTTTAACTGTAAGCTTATCTGTAGCTGTAGTTATCTTATAAAAATTCAAAAACATCCCCAAAAATCTCTTTCCTTTTCTTCCTTGTCTTTCCTATTTCTCCTTGAGGAAAGTAACAGATTCGCCGGAGAGATGTTGACTAGCGATCATTCAAGCGTTTGTTAAATGAGTTGTATAAGTCGAATCGGGAAGTTTTTGCGAGATAAATGTTGCCGAGGATTAGGGCTACAACTCTCTATATAACACTTGCCCCTTTTCAAATAAATTAGACATTTCCCAGGCACTTTTCCAAAAAGTCGTTGTGGTAATTCGTGGTCACCCTGTAGAATTAAGAAAAATAGAAAAAAAGACTTTGTAGAAAGCGATTTGTCCATCAGAGTTGTTCTAAAAGCAATTTCGCAGAATCCAGCCGAAAAATAGATCTTGCCTTCTAGCCTTCCATAGTTAAAAGCCAAGTTTTCGTATGCTTAGCCTTAAAAAGCTCTCTAATAGTAGTGCATTCTGAGCGTTGCATAAATTGCTCGAAATCTCGAAAAGCGCTTATCAGAACCTATCGATGTGAGGTCGGAAAATGTAGCTGACGATGAGATCTTGTGGGGGATTAGAGGGTTGAGCTTCTGCGAAAGCTTGGAGACCGTAAAATAGTGATCAACTCGGCTCGACGGGGTGCACTACTATTAGAGAGAATACTGTATATGTCGTAGCCGATTCTGAATGAGTGATTTAGGCGCGTCCAACCATCAAGTATTTGGTATATTTGAGCTGATGATGAATTTGAGCTGATTCTGGATTTCAGCCGATTCTGAATCAGTCTAGGCGTCTAGTCTAGTCTAGTCTAGGCGTCTAGTCTAGGCCTCTAGTCTAGGCCTCTAGTCTAGGCGTCTAGTCTAGGCGTCTAGTCTAGGCCTCTAGTCTGGGCCTCTAGTCTAGGCCTCTAGTCTAGGCCTCTAGTCTGGGCCTCTAGTCTAGGCCTCTAGTCTGGGCCTCTAGTCTAGGCGAATCTAGCCGCATCCAACCATCAAGTATTTGGTATCATTCAACGCAGAATCATTCACAATTATGTTAAATTTTTTAAATTAGCAAGATTTGATATAAAGAAACAAAAATTAAAGCAAGAAAAGCTGTTTGTTCGAGAGAAAAGCCTGGTAAAATTTTTTTCTTTTGATTCAATCTTTCTAATTAAAAAAATTTAACATAATTATGAATGATTGTGGGTTGAATGATACTAAATATTTGATGATTGGACGCGCCTATATTCGTCTAGACTAGACGCCTAGACTAGACTAAAGGCCTAAACTCATTCAGAATCAGCTGCAATTCATAATCGACTACGACAAAGCTGTTCAGGCTGTTCAGCTGTTACAAAGCTGTTCATGCTGTTCAGCTGTTACGAAGCTGTTCAGGCTGTTCAGCTGTTACAAAGCTGTCCATGCTGTTCAGGCTCTTCAGCTGTTACAAAGCTGTTCATGCTGTTCAGCTGTTATAAGGCTGTTCAGCTGCTACAAAGCTGCTCATGCTGTTCAGCTGTTACAAAGCTGAACAGCATGAGCAGCTTTTGATATTTCAAGAAAAACAAGAAAACAACTCTAAAATCAATCTTTTTCTTTTCTTTTTCAAATAATCACCAAATTCTTTCTCAATTTTAAAGCAATTTTCTCAAAATTACACCCATGAAAGTCATTTCTTTTTTCTTTTTCTTTTTTCTTTTTCTTTTTCTTTTTCTTTTTTTTTTTGCTTTTCTTGATGTTCTTAAGGCAAAAATCGAAATCAAAAATCGTTTTCTTGGTTTTTTTAGTAAAAACTATATACAAATTCTCTAAATTAAGTAGAACTTCCTTTTTTTTCTTTTTTAATTCAAAAGTTGAATATTTTATGGTTAAAAGGTTAGATTTTAGTCGAATTTTGGTCGAATTTTGGTGTTTTTCTTGAGTAAAATTGTGTTTATAACAATACGTAAACGAAAAAAGCTTCTAACTTGCTTCAAATCTACTTGATTGACATGATCTATAGCTCAAAAAAATAGAGAATCTCAAGAGCTTTCGAATGAGCCCAAAGAAAACTCAAAAATCTTAATGCTAAAGAAAGTTACAGTGGTTTGTAGTCCTGCCTCGAAACGGACCGTACTCGAGCGTAGTCGAAGCTATTGAAGCTATCAAAGCTATTCAGGACTATAAACCGCTGTAACTTTCTTTAGCATTGATAAAATAAATATTTTAGTCGATTCGAAAGCTCAAAAAAGTTTTCGAAAGCTTTTTTGAAATGTTTTCTATTGTTTTCTGAATTTTTGATCGAAAATTGTGCTTTTTGTTTATTTGATTTCATTTTTTTGCCTACTTTCTTTTTTGCCTCTTCCTTTCTTTTGTTTTCTTTTTACTTTTTTGTCTTTTCTTTGTTTAGATTCTTGATTTTTCAGGAATTTCCCCATTTCCCAGGATGTTATTGCGACTTTTCCTCATTTTCTTGGCCCTCTTGACCATCTCAACAATGGCACAATTAGCCGGCTCTCCGCTTTCAGGTAAACTTTGCTGACTTTTACCAAAGCTGACTTTAACGAAGCTGACTTTAACGAAGCTGACTGCAACGAAGCTGACTGCAACGAAGCTGACTTTCAAGAAAGCTGCCTTTTACGAAGCTGACTTTAACGAAAGCTGACCTTAACGAAGCTGACCTTTACTTAGAGATTTCTCGTAAATTAAATTGAAATTCTAGGCACTGGCTACATAAGAAGTATACGATATCCAATCAAAGGCTTACGACCATTTGGCTATGGGGGAAATGGAGCCCATTTTGCACAACGACCACCAATCGGAATGCCATCGCAGAGTGGCGCCTATGAGCGCTTTGGCGGAAGTGAGTTTCTGTCGATTTCTTTGCAAAGAACACCCAGAATAAGCATTTTTTTAAAATATACTTACAAAAGGACTACCGAAATTCCATTGGATCACTCTAGGCGTAAGCCTAGAGTGATCCAATGGGTAGCTCCGTAAGGTAGCTCTAGATGGAGAGCAAATTTTTAAAATAACGCACAAGTCATCGAGTACAAATCTGTTTTGGTGAAAATCGGAAAACTGAAGCCTGAAAACTCTAGTGTGATATCCAGATAGAAGAAAAAAAACAAATTTAAAGAAAATTGCTCTTGTCAACCTTTTGAAATCATCGCGAACTCTCGCGAACAGTCCAACGACAGCTATGAAGAGCTCAAGAGTTAACCAAAAAAACGTGCAGTGAAGTAGGAAGGAAGTCCAGAGAGTCCGATAGATTTGAGGAGACCCTGAGGGTTCTCGGACTTGTCTAAATCAATAATCGTTTATCCTGGAGGTCACACTTGATTATTTTAACTGAATATCTTAACCTTACTGATGTATTAGTGAAGTGGGAAGGGAGTCCAGAGAGTCCGATAGATTTGAGGAGACCCTGAGGGTTCTCGGACTTGTCTAAATCAATAATCGTTTATCCTGGAGGTCACACTTGATTATTTTAACTGAATATCTTAACCTTACTGATGTATTAGTGAAGTGGGAAGGGAGTCCAGAGCGTCCGATAGGTTTAAGGAAACCCTGAGGGTGCTCGGACTTGTCTAAATAAATAATCGTCCATCCTGGATGTCACACTTGATTATTTTAACGGAATATGTCAACCTTACTGATGTATTAGTGAAGTGAGAAGGGAGTCCAGAAAGAGTCCGATAGGTTTACGGAAACCCTGAGGGTGCTCGGACTTGTCTAAATCAATAATCGTCCATCCTGGAGGTCACCCTTGATTATCCTAACTGAATATCTTAACCTTACTGGACAACCGAAATTTGAGCCCCTCTAGCTCGCTCCACAAGCTTTAAATCGTATTTTTTGGAAAAGGAGATTCAGGGAAATGACGAAAATAGTTTAGTTTTTCTTTGAATTTACATAAAATTTATAAAGCATTTAACGACTACGCGACTGTACGCTCAAAATCGTCGTCGTGAATCAAATACAGCCCCAAATACAGCTCCAAATTCAACTCGAAATTTCAGGCTATGGACCCGGCTTGCTGACGGGAATGTTATTGGGCAAATAAATCAAGATTTGAACAATTATCTAAACAAATTTTTTTTTTAAAATCGAAACTCTCTGTGATTTTCTCTGGAAAGTCCTCTTTGGGCCTTATTTTTTCAAAAAAAAAATGAGAATCTCATCGGAAATTTTTTTTGTAGCAATAATTGTAAAAAAATGATGATGAAAATAAATGTAGATTTTGTTTATTTCGAAGATAAATGCAAAGTTAGATATGTAAATTTCAAAGAAATGTTTTCAAAGCAAATTTGATCACTGCGTTCCATTGGCGTTTACCTGGAGAGCTCTCTCGCCACAATGAGTCGCCACAATGAGTCGCCACAATGAGTCGCCACAATGAGTCGCCACAATGAGTCGCCACAATGAGTCGCCACAATGAGTCGCCACAATGAGTCGCCACAATGAGTCGCCACAATGAGTCGCCACAATGAGTCGCCACAATGAGTCGCCACAATGAGTCGCCACAATGAGTCGCCACAATGAGTCGCCACAATGAGTCGCCACAATGAGTCGCCACAATGAGTCGCCACAATGAGTCGCCACAATGAGTCGCCACAATGAGTCGCCACAATGAATAAAGCTGAGATTTCTTGAAGAATTCAAAGCTAATCCGCACTAGATAGGGTGCAAAGTACTTTTCGTACAAAGTACAAAGTTTCTAAACAACTTTGTACTTCTCTCGACTTGCCAAGCCGTTCTTTGCGTTTCACTGTAAACGCTGCTCTCTGGCAAACTGTTCAGGTGTTTATAAGGCAGCACAAAGTACAGCTGATTACAGTAGTCGAGAAATTTAGTTTGTTTTGTTTTTGTTTTTGTTTTGTTTTTACCTGCTATTTGCTTTTTGACTTTTCTATTAACTCTGACTCTAATGAAACGTTTTTATATCTTTTCTGCAGCTTCATGAAATGTAGTTAACGTCTTTAGATCTTTCTAAAGCTTTATGAAGTTTAGCTAACGTTTTTAGATCTTTCCGAAGCTTAATGAAGTGTAGTTAACGTTTTTGCATCTTTCTAAAGCTTAATGAAATGTAGCTAACGTTTTTAGATCTTTCTAAAGCTTAAGGAAGTGTAGTTAACGTTTTTAGATCTTTCTAAAGCTTAAGGAAGTGTAGCCAACGTTTTTACATCTTTCTTCAGCTTAATGAAGTCTAATTAACGTTTTTACATCTTTCTTCAGCTTCATTCTGAAATTATTTATCTTCAAATGATATCACAAGAAAGAAAAAAAAGTGACAAGGCAAGATAAGTGTGTATCACGAAAGCGGAATGGAATGCAAAAAAAAAGCATAAGTTTGAAGATCTGTTAAATCTAGTTAACATCTAGTAAACAACTTTAAGACTAGAGTTATTGAATCATTATGCAACCTAGAAGGCACTAGAATAAGGGTACTGTAATGGACTATTGCTAAATAGAAAATGACTGAAGGTAGGAAAGTTCACTAAATTGTCTAGAAGCTTGATCTAGAAGCTTGATCGATGAAGCTGGGTTACTGTACTGTTACAGATAACTTCTTGTTAGTTTAGGGCTAGGGTAGCTACGGTAGGATTACTGTAACGAGAGGTAGCTAGCCTTGGATTACTGTAGCCCGGGATTACGGTATTACTGTAGTTCAGGATTACGGTATTATTGTAGCCCAGGATTACGGTAATACTGTAGCTCAGGGTTACGGTATTATTGTAGTTCAGGATTACGGTATTACTGTAGTCCATGGTTACGGCATTACTGTAGTTCAGGATTACGGTATTACTGTAGCCCAGGATTACGGTATTCCTCTAGCCCAGGATTACGGTATTCCTCTAGCCCAGGATTACGGTATTCCTCTAGTCCGGAATTACGGTATTACTGTAGTCCAGGGTTACGGTATTACTGTAGTTTTAAATGCTAAACTGTAGCCTGGGGTTACCGTATCCGACAACTAGCTTTAGATTGCTGTAGCCAGGATTACTGTAAGGATAGCCAAGCTTTAGATAAGACAAATAGTTGTACTTACTAAAGGGGTACTGTAAGTAAAGGGAATCAACTGGCTGAGCCAGCCAAATGCTACCATTCAACTCAGAATTTTATGCTGATTCCGACTGTCCAAGAGTCTTTTTAGCTCAATGACAATTTTACCTGGCTTTATATAGAAAGCCATGTGCCAGATGGAACGCGATTGTGAGCGAGAACAGAGAACTCTAGTCGACACTTGAAAAAAAGCAAAGAAAAACCCAAACGGGGATCGAACTTGTGAGGCCTCGCTCTGGAAACGAACAATCTACCACTCGGCCACGCTTGCAGTGAAACAAGGCCGTAAAGACGGCCGCTAAGACGCTGCTAGGACCCAAACAACCACATTTCCTAACAAAACTTTAGTCACTTATAACTCCTAACAGATTGTCATTTGACAAAAGCCGGATATATATCCTGAATCAGCATAAAATTCTGTGTTGAATGGTATACGTTGCATAAAATTTGGATCAACGAAAATCTTTTTTTTTTTGATAAGAATAACAATCTCAGCGAGTTGACCTTTCCATGCATGGTTTAAATAAAATTGTAGGGTTACTATAACTAAATCTCATCTAATTACTGATGCTCAACTTTGGCGAGTTGACGAGCTTCTTCTTTGCCAAGATCACTTCAATTGCTTGCTGGGTGGTGGAAGTGAAATGATCTTCGGGCACTTTTTTGAAGAAATCCACTGATTTCAGAATGGAAATGATTGATTCTAAAAAGGTTTTGCTTTGCTTAAATCAACATTTTCTTATTAACACAATTAACATATTGTTCTTAAATTCGATAAATATCTTTAAATGTGTTGGCCTAGCTTGGCCTAGTTGGCCTAGCTTGGCCTAGTTGTCCTAGTTGGCCTAGCTTGGCCTAGCTTGGCCTAGTTGACCTAGTTGTCCTAGTTGGCCTAGTTGTCCTAGTTGGCCTAGCTTGGCCTAGTTGGCCTAGCTTGGCCTAGTTGGCCTAGCTTGGCCTAGTTGGCCTTTAATGCCTTTTCGGCTCACTTTTCACCCACCATTCAACGCCGCATAGTAGACGTTTTTGCCGATTTTTTCGGCGTCTTGATAAAGCTGAAATTTGAGATTATTTACAAATAAGTCTAAAAATGTATAGTTAAAATGTATGGTTAAAATTTCATTTAAAAGCTTAAGAGAAGAAATATATGTTTGCAAAACTCATTCTCGTTTACATACATCTTTAAATGCATCCAATCCCATCGAATCCGTGTAGGCGATCATCGAGCAATCGACGATCACCGAATGAACCTTAGAAAAGATTTAGAAAAGAAAAGATCAAGAACCCCAGAAAGTATGTGTTTACAAAGGGACAAAGTACTCATCCCAAGCCACTCACCTCTTCATCGGCCACCAAATCGTTGACGGCATCGGTGAAAATGGTGACGTTGACGAAATGGAGTGGGCATTGGAAGTGGTAGACGCGAATGTCGTCGGAGCAATCGTCGATCGGAATGGAATGAGATGAATGACCATTCGGAGCTGGCTTTTCGGAGGCATGCTTTGGCCTAAAGTACGGTGATTATCACTCTGATTCTATCGAATCTCAAAACTACGCTATTGCAATTCCTACAGTAGTAGAACTGCAGTAAACAGCTTTAGATTTTGGATACTGTAGCGACGGAATTACTGTAGGAATTGCTAAGTGTACTAAATAGCTATAGATAGACACTAGACGTTAATATAACGGTAATATCTATTATATATAAAGGGACTAAGACGACTGCCTGTCTGTCTGTCTGTCCGCTTGGCTGTCCCTATGTCCGTCTGTCTATCCGTCTGTCTATCCGTCTGTCTATCCGTCTGTCCGTCTGTCTGTCCGTCTGTCTGTCCGTCTGTCTGTCCGTCTGTCTGTCCGTCTGTCTGTCCGTATGTCTGTCCGTCTGTCTGTCCGTATGTCTGTCCGTCTGTCTGTCCGTCTGTCTGTCCGTATGTCTGTCCGTCTGTCCGTATGTCTGTCTGTCCGTATGTCTGTCCGTCTGTCTGTCTGTCTGTCTGTCTGTCTGTCTGTCTGTCTGTCTGTCTGTCTGTCTGTCTGTCTGTCTGTCTGTCTGTCTGTCCGTCTCTCTGTCTGTCCGTCTGTCTGTCTGTCTGTCCCTCTGTGCGCGCTACTCTTCAGTTCCCAGAGAACCGTTTAAAATGATTTTTGCGCCGTTGAATAGGGAATTACATGTAGTTGTGCAACGTGCTTTTGGATTTTTTAAAAAGCACAATTCGAGTCGCACGTGATCGAACCCGAATCGTATTGGTGATAGACCGGCGCGCTATCCACTGCTCCACTGCAAAAAACCCGTTCATCCCCAAAACATCCAGAAAAGACGCGCCATTAGGCTTAAAACAAAACACCTTTACGGATTTACACTCTTTCAAGGGGACTCTCGCATGCCTTCGCTTAGTAGCCTGGTGGCTTAGTGGTTAGAAGCGTGGTCTCCTAGTCGATGGTTGTTAGATTTTATGGTTCCCCGGTTCGAGTCCGTCCGCCGTTTTTTCTCGTCTTTTAAAATGATTTTTTGGCATAAAAGATAAAGCTAACAAAACTTTGTTTAAAGTTTTTTAAAGCTGCTGCCCAGGGCAATTGTAGGCAAAGCAATTAAAAGCAAAAAACTAACCACTGCTCTCGCAGCACGACAGTCATAAGCGTGAAAACGATGGAAATAATCAATCCCGTTGTCACATCAGTAAATGTTGTCGCCAGGCAGGAAATCAACCAAACCGCCTATTTTATTTATAAAAAAAAATATCGCTTTTAAAGACTCACGAAATCCAGTCTTGAAACTTTCCAGAGATACGGTAAAATCTTTGCTTGTTCAAAGAGACTCTTTAAAGAAATGATCACAATGCACGCTAGGATGCACTAAAAATATCGTAAACTTACAGCTTTTTGAAAATTACCATTGGAAGTGGTTCCAAGAAAGGTCCAAGAAAAAGGATCACAGTGAGAAGAAGAGTTGACGAGAAGACAACGTAGAGCTAAATCATTTTTAAGGCTTTTTAAGGCCTAGCTTAGCTTAGCTAAGCTATGGTAGCTAAGCTAAGCTAACCAGCCAATGGTAGCTAAGCTAGGCTAACCAGCTAACGAGCCAATGGTAGCTATGCTAAGCTAACCAGCCAACCAGCCAATGGTAGCTAAGCTAAGCTAACCAGCTAACCAGCCAATCGGAGCTAAGCTAAGCTAACCAGCTAACCAGCCAATGGTAGCTAAGCTAAGCTAACCAGCTAACCAGCTAATCTTAGCTAAGCTAAGCTAACCAGCCAACCAGCCAATGGTAGCTAAGCTAAGCTAGCCAGCCAATGGCAGCTATGCTAAGCTAACCAGCTAATCTTAGCTAAGCTAACCAGCTCTAGCCTGTCGTTAATAAAATAATCTAAAATCTAACAAGTTTTCAATAAAAACAATAGTAAAAACCTCTTTTTAAACGAAAAAGAAAAATGAAAAGCTTTAAAATGGATCGAACCCTGACCCTCTGCTTGGTAAACTTTTGCATGCACCACTAGACCAACCAGCCATCCCGAGCAGGCCTTTCAAATTGCCTTAAGACTATCTAACTATCAAAAACTTGCGCCTTAAAACTATCAAATCAAAAACTATCAAAAACCATCAAAAACTCGCAAAAACTTCTATCAAAATTTACCATAGTATGCGCTCCTGACATTTCGCAAACGGCTGATCGAGACAACGAGGCTCCAACTGGGTAAACGGGGAACAACGAGGCGAATGTGTGCATGAGACCGGTGGCGATGAATTCCTGCAAAAGAATGGGAAGATTACGGTGATGACGGTGATTATGGTGATCTAGCAGCTTTTATAATTGATAAAGCTTTTTTTTGCCTGTGTTGAGTCGATTGTGTACTTGTGCTTCTTGGCAAAGAGTTTCCCCATCGAAACGACGAACATATAGCAAACGATGGCAATCGGCACCGCGTCTCCAACCAAATGTGGCAGCAGATCGAGCCGGGGAATCGTTGGAGCCGGGAAACTGAAGTGTGAAGTGAATGATGGCGGTAGTCGAATCGGAAATAGTTACCCGAGATTGGATTGAAAGATTGGAAGATTGGAAGATTGGAAATCTTCCAATCTTCGCCAATTCTCAATCCGATTGGAAATTTTGGCAAATTCTCTTAGTCAATTTAAAGACGAACCCCCTGGGAATGTTGTCAACGATTTTCACGTGATAATTCGGAGCCAATCCCATCGCCCACGAGGCGACAACAGCGATAATCACCTGGAAATCGACTTTGTTTCAAAAGCAGGCCTTAAAAAGCAGGCTTTTAGCCCCTAAAAACCCACCAATATCAACTCCAACGGCACCGGGATCTTCGAGAATTTCTTCACCCACGGATTCACGAACTCTCGCCCGATATGCAAAAAGACGAGACCGAAAATCGAGATGCCGAACACGACGAAGTTCGTTTTTGGAAGCGATAGAACAATGTCTTTCATCATCTAAATGGTTTTAATTGCTTTTAAATGATTTTAGTATCATTGTGATCAGCCTAATTTACATTACGGATTCAACTCTGGTTCTGGAACCTGTAAACCAGTTCTGAGCCAGATCCAGGTTCAGAACCCAGGTCCTGACCAGGTCCAAGAGCCAGTCCAACTGCTTGCAGATTCAGAAGCCAGAATAACCAGCTCCAGGCTCAGAAACCAGGTCCAGGTAGGTCAAGGTCCAAAAGTCAGGTCAAGAAGTTAGATTTAGGCCAGGTCCTTCAGGTCCAAACCAGGCTCAGCCCACGTACAAAAACCAGATCCAAGTCAGGTCCAAGCCAGATCCATAAGCTAGATCCAGACCAAGTTCAAAAGCCAGGTGCAGATCAAGTTCAGGAGCCAGTTCAGGTTTAGGCTATGTTCAAGAACCAATCCAGATTCAAGCCAGATCCAGAAGCTAGACCCAGGCCAGGTTCAAAAGCCAGGTACAGATCAAGTTCAGGAGACGGTTCAGGTTCAGGCTATGTCCAGGAACAAATCTAGGTTCAAGCCAGATCCATGAGCTAGATTCAGACCAGGTTCAGAAGCTAGGTCCCGATCCAGATACAGGCTATGCCCAAGAGCCAAGATCTAAAAGCCAGTTCAGCTCAGAAGCCAGGTCCAGAGTCGAGCTCCAGGTCAGATCCAGCCTCTAGGCTAGGACAGATCCAGGACCCAAGCCAGGTTCAAGCCAGGTTCAGGTCCAGAAGCTAGATCCAGAAACCAGGCCCAGAAGCCAGGTCCAGGTTCAGAAGCCAGTCCAGAGCCAGGATTACAATCATTACTTGTAGAAAAAAACTCACAAACACCAACATGCCGATTCCCTCGTGTCGAGGCAGTTTCACACCAAAGACCTGCAATTATTCTAGTAGAGGAATTCGATTTTCTACGAATTCAGCTCCAGATTCTCTGCACAACTTGCCTTGTTCAATTGAGACATGAAAACATGAGCCGCTGAGCCAGTTGTGAAGCCGGAAACAAGCGGATCCGAGAGGTAGGTTGTCAAGAAACCCAGCCGAAAGACGCCCATAGCAAGCTGGAATCGATTGATGCATTTGCTTTCGATCTCGATAATGATTTGATGCATTATCAGGCTACTGTAAGCCGCAATCATGCCTTGAACCTTTTGAGCTTCGTCTTAGACTTTGTCTTAGACTGTCTTAGACTTAAATCCTCTTAAATTAAATCTTAAATTAGTTGATGGGTAACAAAGAAACAAGTTATTTGGGTTACTGAAAGATTAACTAATTGATTTCGGCTTACGGTAGGTATTAGCAATATTTACAAATACCTGCGTAATGCCAACACCCATCGCTAAAGCGCTCGTCAACTCAAGTGGCCCCACATCGCCTAGAGAACCGGGTTCTGTTCCATTGATCACTCTACCTAAAAATTCGATAATTTTAAATCCTTTTCAATTACAGGAAGACTTAAAACAAGCTCTAAACATTTTTTCCTATCTCAATCGCTTATCTCCTTTAGAATTCAAAAAGCTTACCAAACTCATCCCGGTTCGGTGTTAAACGCATCCGACATGCGCCCACCATCATTGAAGCCACCGCAAAGACTCCTGCAAAGACTCGCAAATTTGAAAAGATTTTTTTGTAGCTTTTTACCAATTGAGATATGTCTAGCTGTGCCGAAAAACATGTAGACGAAAGCCGTGAAGAAAGAGGAATACATACCGACAACTGGCGGCACTGAGGCTAGCGAGGCGTAAGCCATACCTGAACACGATCGAGTTGAATCACCTCGATCACTCAATCAATCATTATCTCAACTCATCACTTAGCTTTAAAGGTGGTTAAAAGCTAGACTAGAATTTGCTGGTTGATTGCCAAGTTGTTTCAAAGTCAATTGACTTGGGTTTTTCAGTCAGTCAGAAACCAGGGCTGGTTTAGCCTAGGTTTAGCCTTGATTCTGGGCTTTTTTTTTATCCTTTAGCTCAGAATCTGGTTTATTTTATCACCTATTTCATTTGAATCTCTAAAACGCTCTAAAACGCTACCTTGAGGCACGTGCATGATGCCGACAGTCAAACCAGCGATCACGTCGCCGTGAATCCATTCTTTCCATGGGTAACTAAAAAGATTGAGAACGATTTTAGGCCGTTAGAAAGTTAGAAAGTTTGGGAACTGTTTTAGAAAGTTAGAAGGATCAGATTCAGAAGCTAGATCAAGTCCAGGAGCTAGTTCAGGTCCAGGAATCAATCCAGTTCCAAGCCAGTTCAAAGTCTAAGAACAGTTTTAGAAAGTTAGAAGGATCAGATTTAGAAGCTAGATCAATTCCGAGAGCTAGTTCAGGTTGAGAATGATTTTAGGCAGTTAGAAAGTAGAAAGTTTGGGAACAGTTTTAGAAACCAATCCATTTCCAAGCCAGTTCCAAGTCTAAGCACAGTTTTAGAAAGTTAGAAAGATCAGATTTAGAAGCTAGATCAATTCCAGGAGCTAGTTCAGGTTGAGAGCGATTTTAAGCAATTAGAAAGTTAGAAGGACCAGATTCAGAAGCTAGATCAAGTCCAGGAGCTAGTTCAGGTCCAGGAATCAATCCAGTTCCAAGCCAGTTCCAAGGCTAAGCACAGTTTTAGAAAGTTAGAAAGACCAGATTCAGAAGCTAGATCAATTCCAGGAGCTAGTTCAGTTCCAAGAATCAAGTCCAGTTCCAATCCGGTTCAAATTTTAAGTTTAAGAGCAGCTTTTGAAAGCTAGAATTTTTAAAAACACTTTTGCAAAGTCTAAGAAAATAAAAAAATATCTTTCTCATATTTTAATCGATTTGTAATTGCCTAAAAAAGCATCACAGCTTGAAAATAGTTTTTCTCTGCCGGCAAGAATGGGGAAATTCTTTAAAATGGTTTCTTTTTTTCTCAAATTCGAGCATTTTTGTGAAAAACAAAGGAAAAAGGGTAATTTTTAAGTTAAACCCTTCAAAATTCGCTTAAAATCACTCACTTTGGTAACCAGTGGAGAATTGGAATCAATCCAAAAATCGTGCCCTTCACTCTTTCCCCGATCGTCTTTTTTCTGAGAATTTTCTTCATTTTTAGAAATTCGAAAATTGAAATTTGAAATTTTTCGATTGAAATTGTCAATTCTGTCAATTCTAAAAGAGAAAAAAAGTAGATATTGAGTAAAAAAAAGAAGGAAAAAACGTCCCCTTTTAGGCGGATGATCACTTTATAATTGTCCACAACGAGCAGACATCAGTTTTTCTTTTTGAAAAAATCTGTCTGACTCAACTCTTGCTTTTGCTAAGTTTAAGAGTTTAATAATAGATTAGTTTATATAGTAATAGATTAGTTTTATAGTTTTTGATATCTTTTTTCTTTTTTATATTGTTTTATATTGTTTTTTATTGGTTTATATTGTTTTTTATTGTTTTTTATTGGTTTATATTGTTTTTTATTGGTTTATATTGGTTTTTATTGGTTTTTATTGGTTTATATTGGTTTATATTGGTCTATATTGGTTTATATTGGTTTATATTGGTTTATATTGGTTTATATTGTTTTTTATTGGTTTATATTGGTTTTTATTGGTTTATATTGGTTTATATTGTTTTTTATTGGTTTATATTGGTTTATATTGGTTTATATTGGTTTATATTGGTTTATATTGGTTTATATTGTTTTTTATTGGTTTATATTGGTTTATATTGGTTTATATTGGTTTATATTGGTTTTATATTGGTTTTTATTGGTTTATATTGTTTTTTATTGGTTTATATTGTTTTTTATTGGTTTATATTGGTTTATATTGGTTTATATTGGTTTATATTGGTTTATATTGGTTTATATTGGTTTTTATTGGTTTATATTGGTTTTTATTGGTTTATATTGGTTTTTATTGTTTTATATTGTTTTATATTGTTTTATATTGTTTTATATTGTTTTATATTGTTTTATATTGTTTTATATTGTTTTATATTGTTTTATATTGTTTTATATTGTTTTATATTGTTTTATATTGTTTTATATTGTTTTATATTGTTTTATATTGTTTTATATTGTTTTATATTGTTTTATATTGTTTTATATTGTTTTATATTGTTTTATATTGTTTGATATTGTTTTATATTGTTTTATATTGTTTTATATTGTTTTATATTGTAATTTTCCTTGCCTCTGCCCTTTTTCCCTGCCATTTTCTGGGTTAAGTGGCGCGTCGCTGCGATCCGTCAATCCGGCAGTCATGTAGTCATTTTTCTGGAAATTTATTGAAATTTACTTAACTTTTTAGTTAAGAATTGTATTTTATCAGGTTTTTATGAGATACTTGAGGTTAAACTCGAAAAAATGTGGATCTAGAGCTGGATCTGGAGCTGGATCTGAATTTGGAGCTGGATCTAGATCTAAAATCACTTAAGAATCAAGCTTTTAAACAGGTTTGACAAGGATCAAACAAAGGAAAGATGTTAAAGATGTTAAAGAAAGATTAAGCTTTCAAATTCTATTTTTCAAAAGTAATTTAAAGTTTTCCAGGACTTTGAAACATGAGAAAAAATGAATAATGGAAAAGCAACAGTATGCTGTGACGAAATGAGCTAATCCATAAACCGTTCAACGCAGAATTCCACGCTCATTCCAAATCTGCTTTCCCTTTTTGCCAAATCGATTTCTATAAACAAAAGTTTTGTCTAAAAGTCGAAAAGGAATCGAACTCGAGCGAAATGATGAAGCTCTCGTTTTGTATGCAGGCATCTTATCTACTATACTAGAGCCACGTTCAAGAACCGTTAAAGAACCTTTCTAAAGGCCGTGAGAGAGCCAGAAAAAGTTTCGACATGTTTTAAGTTTTGAGGTGAAAATGGGAAAATTTTATCCGAAAAGGGCTTTATCACGGCTGTCTCAATGGCCTTTATAAAGGTTTTCTCAAGGGATTCGAAAGTGATTGGATGGTCTAGTGGATAAGCTGCCTGAATACAAAACGATTGGCTCATGGTTTCGCTCGGGTTCGATTCCTTTGATTGAAACTTTTGTTCATGGAAATCTTTTATTTTGCAAAAAGGGAAATCAGCTTTGGAATCAGCTTTGGAATGAGCTTTGAAATCAGCTTTGGAATCAGCTTTGGAATCAGCTTTGGAATCAGCTTTGGAATCAGCTTTGGAATGAGCGTGGAATTCTGCGTCGAATGGTTTGTCATTTATTCATTTGGTGATATTCTATTGTTGCTTTTCCCTTGTAGGAAAATGATGCTAAAAGAAAAAAAAGGGATTTAAAAGACATTTAAAAGACAAGAGATTTATAAGACATTTACAAGACATTTATAGGACATTTATAAGATTTATAAGACGATTTTGATAACTAAAAAAGAGAGATCTTCAAGAAAAGATAAAAAGAGATAAAAAGAGATAAAAAGAAGATAAAAAGAGACAATAAACAGTGAATTTTGATTGAATCTTTATCCTTTTAGCAAAGCAAAGTCAGCTTTATTTCTGGGATCGGCTTTCTACTTGAGAAATCAGCAAACAAACTTTCTGGCGCATTGAATTCCCAATTTTCTCTCAGAAAATGACACCAGAAGGGCTGTGTTTAGCCAAATTTGATCAAAAATTGCGCAAAGATTAACTAAAAGCTTGAAAATCGTACAGATAACACAAAATAGCTGTAATAAAGATCAAAAAAATAAACAAAGCAGTGTTTTGGAATGGATTTGACGGAAAAAGAGAGACTTTTCGCTCATCTTTTCACTGAATCTGTTCAGTTTTCATACATAAACTCTTTTTCTTTTCAAGTGACAAAAGAAAAAATCGTGAAGAAGCAAAAGAAAGAGGAAGAAGAAAGAGGAAGGAGAAAGAGGAAGAAGAGAGAAAGAAAGGGGAAGAAGAAAAGAAAAAAGGTGAATCGATTTGCTTTTATGAAAACTGTCTTTTTCGGATTCTTATTCGCTTGTTTTCTAGAAATTTACTCAAAACGAAAGCTGCTTTTTGCACTTTTGGAACAGAGAACAGCTTTTGTTCAATGAAAAACTATTGCTGAGATGTTTTATTGGGTTGGTGGAAAAGTCCTTTCCGATTTTTTAGGAGAGTACCTATTTGGGAGAGTACCTATTTGCCCAATTTTGACGCTTTATAGCCAATCTTAAAGCTGAATTCAAGACGGATCGATTGGTAAAAAACGTTTTGAGATATCTCTTTTCTAAAAGTTTTTACAGCTATTTTAGTAAAGGGCGGCAGAGCCAAAAGCCAAAAAATGGCTGTTTTCACGTTTCGTTAGTTTTCCTTGCAGAAACCTAGGCTAAAAACATGTGTTTCGTGATCAGCGTCAAAAATAACCCCTAGACACGCATTTTCAGAATCTTAGCAAAAACTTTTTGAAAAATATTGTCACCGGTGGAAGTCGAACCAGCGACCCTCAGATCAATAGCCTTTCCGCCGCTTTTCGCGATTTTCCTTCGTTTTTCTCGTCTTTTTTGTTTTATCATTTTTTTATGTTGTTAGAAGGCTTTTTTCAGGGTTTTAGGTTTTAGCATGGTTTTAGCATGGTTTTAGCCTAGGTTTCTGCAAGGAAAACTAACGAAACGTGAAAACAGCCATTTTTTGGCTTTTGGCTCTGCCGTCCTTTACTAAAATAGCTGTAAAAACTTTTAGAAAAGAGATATCTCAAAACGGTTTTTACCAATCGATCCGTCTTGAATTCAGCTTTAAGATTGGCTATAAAACGTCAAAATTCGACAACTTTAAGGTACTCTCCCAAAAAATCGGAAAGGACTTTTCCACCAACCCAATAGAATGTCAAAAGTGCTTTAGAATGTCAATCAATGCTTTGAATTCGCTTCTTAAATACATAATCTGTTTGTTTGTTAAAAATTAAAGTTGAATTATTGAATAGATTTAGTGGAAATGACTACATTTTACTAAGAAGATCTATTGAAATTTTGAAAATTTCATTTTTTTTCATAAATTCTTCTTTTAAACTTTCATTTCTTGAGCTTACATAAGAAAAATTTGAGGTTTAAAGAGTTTTAAAGAGTTTTAAAGACTTATAAAGACTTCTAAAGACTTCTAAAGACTTCTAAAGACTTTTAAAGACTTCTAAAGACTTTTAGAAGACTTTTAAAGACTTCTAAAGACTTCTAAAGACTTTCAAATACTTTTAAAGACTTTTAAAGACTTCTAAAGACTTCTAAAGACTTTCAAATACTTCTAAAGACTTTTAAAGACTTCTAAAGACTTTCAAATACTTCTAAAGACTTCTAAAGACTTCTAAAGACTTCTAAAGACTTCTAAAGACTTCTAAAGACTTTCAAATACTTCTAAAGACTTCTAAAGACTTCTAAAGACTTCTAAAGACTTTCAAATACTTTAAATACTTTCAAATACTTTAAATACCGTAATACCTCGAATAGTAGTGCCCTCACCCTATAATGACGGTCAAGCCTTGTGTAGGCTAACTTTAAACGCATTTTTCTTGTCACCCTTTTATGTTACAATTTGCGCTTAAGTATCAAATGAAAGCTGAGATTCAGAGCTATTTTTTCACTTTGGAGACTTTTCGAGAAAAGAACTGACTCTTGAAAAATTTCTTTGCAAGATTGTACGAAGTTCTGAAAGGGTTTAAGTCATTCTTTTCTAGATTTTAGTCAAATTTTTGATAGCTTACAATTTTAATCGACCTTTACATTCCTTAGAACTTTAACTCACCTTTAAATTGCTTACAACTTTAACCGACCCGTACCATTGCCTACAATTTTAACCCACGTTTACCATAGCTTCAAGCTTTAACCGACCTTTACATTCCTTAGAACTTTAACTCACCTTTACCATTCCTTACAACTTTAACCCACCTTTACCATTCCTTACAGCTTTAATCCACCTTTACCATTCCTTACAACTTTAACCCACCTTTACCATTGCTTTTTGCCCAAGATCTCCGGATCGATCTTCGGATTGATTCACCTGCAATATCTCAGAATTTCATTGCAAATGAAATGAATGCATTTCAATTCTCCTTTCTTCAAAATTACTCAAGAAAACGCTCAAAAAACGCATATTTTATGAGAAAAAGAAAAAAGGAAATCAAACAAAGGAAAATAAATTAAAAAAAGGGAAATTTTTGAGATAAAAAGAGAGCCAGTAGTAATGAATTTTGGATGTTTAGTCAAAATAGCTGATTAGCTGATTAGCTAAAGAAGAAGAAGAAAGGAAAATGCGAAAATCGGCTATAAAAAGGCACTCAAAGGGATTGAGATGAACATTCTTTTTTTTGGTTTGTTTGAGAATTAAGCTTTCAACTTGTAAATGTGTTTTTCAAGAATTTGAGTAAGTTATTTGTGATTTGAATTTGAAGGTTTAAACGCCGGTGAATGGTTTGAATCGTTTCGTGAATCGTGAATCGTTTTGAATCGTGAATCGATTAAAAAGTCGATCGATTTATGTTTGATTTGAGTTCACAAAGAGATTTTCCAATTTCAAAAGAGATTTTCCACTTGAATGAGCGTTTGCAAAGATAAAAGAGAAGAGGCTTTCAATAGAAAACATTTTTAGAATAAAGGGTTACCGAGGTAACTATGAGGAGTAATGTTTAGGGAAAGAAATGAAGGAAATGAAGGAAATGAATGAAACGAAATGAATGAACTGAAATGAATCAATTGAAATGAAATGAGTCAATTGAAATAAATGAAATGAAATGAATCAATTAAAATAAAATCGAATCTAACATTGAGTAAAGCTTGATAATTATATCCTTAAAAGATTTTCGAGAAAATTAAAAGAATAAAGATGTGGCGAATAGCCACTAAAAAGTTACCTAACTCAGCCTAAAACTTGGAAAAGTATTGCGGAAATCCGTGCGCGCGAAAATCCGTGCGCGCGAAAATCCATGCGCACGAAAATCCGCTAATTCTATTGAACTAGTGAATTGAAAAATGCCGGCTATTGTCGTAGGTCACAGTTTGAGCACTTTCCTCAAAAGAAACCCATTTTGGTATCAATGGAAAAGTTGTAGAGAATCAAAAATGAAGCTCATATTCAAATTTTCAGAACGATTCAAAAACTGGTTTTCAAGAAATGCCAAATTTACGAATTTTCACAAAACTTGCATTTTAAGCATCGAGAACTACTAAGTGTATCTTTTTGAGAAATTTGGCTCATTAAGCCTAATTTTTGATTCTCTACAACTTTTCTATTGACACCAAAATGGGTTTCTTTTGAAGAAAGTGCTCAAACTGGGACATCTCCAGTCCTCCATTTTTGAGTCTCACACACTTGTACTGGATAGCAAGACGGGATAGCAGGACAGACAGCAAGCAGTTGCTGGATAGCAAGACGACCGTTAATGCAATCAAATACGGTGAACAGTTGGGAAAGGTGAATGAATCCCTGAAGAAGAATAGGCCCTCCAAGTCAAAGATCGTTCTCATCCACGACAACGCGTGCCCTCATGTTGCAAAACTGACTCGCTCTAAAATAAATAGCCTTGTTTGGGCTATTTATGCGAACTTTTGGCGCATTCCTCATACAATCCGGACCTCTTCCCTTTTGATTACTATTCATCCGGATCATGAGCTTGCGGGAGCACTCTTCGATTCGGAAGAAGCAGTCAAAAATTGGCTTTGAAAGTTTTTCGATTCAAAACCAAAATCCTACGACGAAAGAGGAATCCGCAAATTGCCTGTAAAATGGGCAGAAGTCGTCAATAATAATGGAAATTATTTGGAAGGAATTGATGGTTTTATGTTGAATAAATTCTAGTTCAAAGTCCCGCAGTTTTCAATTCACCAACCCAATACAAAGCAAAAGAAATGGCCAGATGTTCTTTGTGCAGCCGCACAATCGCTCGCTCTCTGGCACACCGTCCCGATAGATAGCTCGTCCCTTTTCGTCGAGAATTATTGCCTTCAAAAATCAACGGGAACAGTATTTGACTATATAGATGTGTTGGACGATTGCTTGTTGCCGTTTTTGCTCCCAAGTCAGACTATATAGATGTTTTGTAAGTCTCACACACAAACTCAAATCCTACCACGAAAGAGGGGCCCAAAAAGCCTGCAAAAAGGGGAGGAGGGGGCGAAAAAAAAAAAGGGGAATAATTTGGGTGGAGAGGGGGGTTTGTTGTGAAAAAATTTTTTTTAAGAAAAACCCCGGTCCAATTCACCAACCCAATAAATCAAGAACGTCACCCACATTGAAAGCGCCCCATATCATCAGTGATCCTCCATCGAAGTTGAATTAATTTTAGTTCAAAGTTCCGCAGGTTTCAATTCACCAAATCATTTATTGTTTTGTAGGTTGTTAGCTGAATATCTTGTGTTAAAGCCTATATAAGGCAACTGTTATTCATTTGATGTTTATGTTGATGTTGATGCTTGTTTTTACTCTTTTCTGCTTTCCTTTCATCGTGTGAAAGTTGTGTCCTAATTAGGAGGAAATTGTTTCCGTTTTTATCGTCGCTTTTAATTCAATTGTCGATTTTGTGTGAAAATTGCTCAAGTTCTCACTTCTCTCGCCCAAAAATTCAAAAAGTCAGTCGGCTATTGAATAAAGTGTCTTAGTTCAAGTGAGATCTGATATCTCGAAGCAAGAAATAACGTGTCTTGAGTGAAGAGTGCCAAGCACGCAAAGAATTTTGCTTTACAAAAGGGTTACCGAGGTAACTATGAGGAGTAATTTTTAGGGAAGGAAATGAATGAAATGAAATGGAATAAAATCGAATCTAACATTGAGGAAAGCTTGATAATTGGTTCCTAACGACATTTAGAGAGATAAGGAACCAAATTTAGAGAGATAAGAACTAAATCTAGACAGATAAGGAAGCTAATTTAGAGAGATAAGGAACCAAATCTAGAGAGATAAGGAACCAAATCTAGACAGATAAGAACTAAATCTAGGCATATAAGGAACCAAATCAAGAGAGATAAGGAACCAAATCTAGACAGATAAGGAACCAAATTTAGAGAGATAAGGAACCAAGATAATTGCTTGATTATACCCTTGAAAGGTTTTCTTAAAAGATTAATAGAAAGAAAGTGGCACTAATCTCAATATAAACAAGTAAAAATCTAGAAATCTAGAAATTTCTTTCGAAAAAAACTTCAAAACTTGAATTTTCCTTTTTTTTACCTGAAACGATTCAAAAAATCAAGGCCATTTGAAAATTTTCAAAAACCAACCAAAAATCTCTCTATTCACTCGAAAAATCTTAACCAGCACTCAAAAAGTCTTGAAGAATTGAGTCAAATCAAGTCTAAAGTAATGACGAAAGAAAAGATCTTTGAAATAACATTACAATGACAACATGACAAAAACCAAGATTTGTGAATCGTAGATGAAGTGGAATAAGGCGAAATAATGTAAAAACTCTAACGTCACCTTCTCGGACTAACTTCTTTTCAGAAAACTTCTTCTTCTTCTCCTTCTTCTTCTTCTTCTTCTTCTTCTTCTCCTTCTTCTTCTTCTTCTCCTTCTCCTTCTTCTTCTTCTTCTTCTTCTTCTTCTCCTTCTTCTTCTCCTTCTTCTTCTCCTTCTCCTTCCTCTTCTTCTCCTTCTCCTTCCTCTTCTTCTCCTTCTTCTTCTTCTTCCTCTTCTTCTCCTGCTCCTTCTTCTTCTTCTTCTTCTTCTTACCGTAAACTTACCGAAATTGGTGTCAAATTTTGTAAGCTGAATATCTCGCGTTACAGAGATCTTCCGAAAAAGTTAAACCGGATTCGGAATTAGCGTAAAAAACTCTATCAGATAGGCTTGGTCTCTTTTGAAAAGCTCACCTTAACTAGGCAACATTTCCTAGTAAGCTAAATGCCACCAAAATATCCGATCAGAAAGCCCCAGGATTTAGCTTTTCAATTGTGATAATTAAAATTTAATAGGCTTTGTCTCTTTTGAAAAGCCCACCTTAACTAGGCAACATTCTCTAGCAGAAACACATATGGTTTTAGATATTGATAGGTCGTTAACGATAAGTTTATCTCATAGATTGTTAAGATCGGGATAGACGAACAAAGTTTAAAAGCCGGGTGAGGGCAAAGCGGCGGCGCTGGCAGGCGCAGAGCGGCGCATGAGCGGCAGTGGGGCAGCAGAGCGGCAAAGCGAGCGGCAGCATGGCGGCAAGCATGGCAGGCAAGCATGGCGGCGCATGGTTAAAACGCGGACATTACCTCTGAGGTATGAGGCTCTGTCTGCTAAAAAAAGCAAGTAGTTTCCCGTATTCGTGAAGCCGAAAAAGCTCGCTAGACTCGCTAGAAAGGCTTTCTGAAAAGTTTCTGAGCATTCTGTGAAGAATTTCAGGCAGAGTACCTGACTCAAGCTTAATAAGTTTGCTTTTTAACATTTGATTATTACTAAACGGATTTCTAGTTCAAGATTTAGAATAGGAATAATGAAAACAAACTCAAAAACAGAGTCAAAATCAAAAAGCAGAATCAAAATCAATCTCAAAATCAAATCCAAATCCAAATCCAAATCAAAATCAAAATCCAATAAAAATCCAAATAAAAATCCAAATTTGCAACCTTTTCAAAAGAAAAATACCGAAAAATGAAAGAAAATGCGTGAAATTTCTCGACTTTCACGTTGAACTTTTGAAAGAAATGGCAAAGAAAAGAGAAATAAACGAAGAAAATCGCTAAAATCGCTAAAATTGATAAAATTGATAAAGTCGCAAGCATAATGAGAGATTTTTTTTGACAAAATCGTTTCTTTTTTTCTCCAAATTCAAAGATCTCTTTGATTTTTAGAGAAAATTTTCAAATTTCACTAAAAAAAGCATAAATTTCTCCTCAAGATTGGTTCAAATTTAGCGCCTTATCGTGAAATCTCTTTCTTTTATATCTCTTTCTTTCTTTCTCTTCTCTTTCTTTCTCTTCTCTTTCTCTTCCTCTTTCTCTTTCTCTTTCTTTCTCTTCTTCTTTCTCTTCTCT